TACATACACCCATCCATCCATCCATATAATGTACGCACATGCATGTCTGTATCTAAATATGTATGAATACATGTATGTGTGGATGTGTGCCCCACAAGCACACATGTGCGTAAGTGTCTATATGTGTATATACATATGTGCGTGCACATATATGTATATACACATACACATCCACACACACACACACATATATATATATATATATATGCATATATATGTATATGTTTGTACGTGTACATATATGCATATACATACATACATACATACACACAACAATCATATAGCACATGCCATGCTGGCAAAAGCTGAGGCGAGCGGCTCCAGATCTTCACCACTCCATCCTCGGAGTGGGTCTAGCGTTTAGGGCTTTAGAGTTTCGGGCTTGAGGGTGCAGGATGTTAGGGTTGTAGGCTAGATTTAGGCTTGAGGGTGTTCGGCTTTTCGGGATTGGGAGCTTCGGATTGAGGGAGGGTTGCTGCGTGCTTGATGGTTTCGGGTACGCTGTTTCTTAGAATGAGGGGCCGCAAAGCAATAATCCCGTTTACCTTTTGACCGGGGAAACTTTCGCTCAAAATAAACCCGCAGACCATGAACAACAGCCAGCATGAGGAAACCGCAGTGATGCCGTGGACTTCGCAGTTCCATGAACTTCAACCCTCAGATAAACTGGGTCCATACATTGAGCCCTACACCCTCAAACCCTAAAGAACCCTGATAGCAACCCTATGGTAACCACCAGCTGGGTCCAAGACAGCACCTCCCGTCACCAGGACGCGGCTGTCGTCGGTCACATCGGCCTTGACCTGTCTTCAAGCTGCGCAGTATTCTAGGGTTTAGGGGATAGGGGCTAGGGTTTACGATGGGTAATATAGCAATCTGATCAAGAAACCCGAGGTCTTTATTAGGGTTCTTTGTATGAGTCCTACTTGTTTGGGGTTGACAGGGCCTGGGTTTCTCAACCAAGTTCCTACAATATTCTCCACTCGCTCAGTTTAGGTAATTAAGGGTTTCAAGCTTCGGGGTTTGGTCCGAGTGCGCTGTTTAGAGGTTTAGGGTTTAGTTACGCTGTTGGACAGAAGTAACATGTAGCCGACAGGCCTCCCGTTTGAAAGGGCAGTCGCCCATGATGGCCCCTTTTGCGAAGCCTCCATACTCGCAGATTCAACCCTAAACCCTAGACTCTAAACCCTAAACCCCCGAAACCCTAAACCCTAGACTCTAAACCCTAAACCCCCGAAGCCCTAAACCCTAAACCCCTGGTCATCTCGAGTCTTCGGCCTTTAGGGCAGGGGTGAGGGCCTCGTAGGTTGGGATTCGACGACCAGGTTCAAATACTTCAGGAAGTCCCGACCCAAAAATCCAAAGGTAAGGGCCATAATCAGTATAGGGTTTGGGGTGAGTTATGACAAGGAAAGCCAAGGAACAATAAGTAATATAGGCTTCGGTATTACGCCAGAGCACCGAACCTGAAAGATGCTCAGGGCTGGGGTCTGGCTCGCAAGCATTAAGATTTGGGCTGCGGGGCTTAAGAAAGGCTTACCTTGAGAATCCCCACCGTCTGGGTAAGTGATAACATAGGAAAACACCTGTAGAATCTTGAACGAGTGGGCGATGCTGCTGCGGTAAGCGTAGTCGTATGCATGCTTGACCAAATCCAAACCCAACTGCAGGTGACACGCGCACACACACACACAGAGCATTGCTTTGGAACCAGCAATGGAAGCAGTGCTGCCTTGAAGTCAGTCAAGCGTGTAGCATATACACGGAGGTTGGAGCGAAGCACGCATGCAGCATCCACTTAACTCTGCTAGCCGAAAATGTGGGGTCTGAACCTTGAGGGTGTATGTTGGGCTCAGACCCTGCGCATCACAGTCATAAGACAAAATGCACACACATCCGAGACACAAATCGCTAAATCGAACACCGAAATTCCCTGAAGCCCGCGCCCAAAAAGCCGGCCGGCATGGCGACAGGAACGCCGCTCTGGTGGGCATACCTGGGAGCACACCCAAAGGCTTGTTTCCATAATCTGCAATAGTATATACAGCAATCTCTCTTACAACATACTGCTAATTTAACTGTATATTCTTTACTTTAGTACCGTATGTTGTTATGTATAGTAAGCATGGTTCATCTCCAAAGGTTGAGCCAACAAATCCCAAACGCAAAATCACGAAGCCGTCAACATCCCAAAGCGAATCCTACATTCCCATATACCTAAATAAGCCCTAAAACGCCAAACCTCAAATAGCACAGAATCCAAAAGTCTACACCGCGCGGTTTAGGGTTTTAAGGGTTTAGGACCTCAACACCCTTGAGCTCTCGATAGCTTGAAGCGGGTGAGCACGAACAATCCAGGTTTAAGTGCTACACACCACCAGGGCCTCAAGAATTAGAATAGGGTTCCTGTAACGGGTTCTATAAGGCTTCTGCAGGTTTAGGGGTTTGATGCCTCAAAAATCAGAATAGGGCTTGGAAGCATATTCTACTATGGTTATATCAAGACCATAAGGGGATACGAATACACAGTAGCCCGACCCGAATGGTACATGCTACTTCTGTAAGTGCTCTACAGGCTCAAGGAAGGCTTCGATGTGGAATGGTTCAGGGTTTATATAGGGTCGGGTGTTTATTAGTGTTGCAAGGCGTGGGCTTTTCAGGCTTGTAGAAGTTGATTAGGGTATTGTGGTTTCCGCTGGAACTGTTACCAGCCACCAGCATACTCTCTTACATGACCTGAATTGTGCGTGTGATCATGGTCTCGAAAACAGCCAAGGGGTGGGTCTCGGAACGCATTCTGCTCTCAACCCAAGACTTTAAACTCAACACTCTAAATCCTCTCGAACCCTTAGCCGCAGGTGTTGAGGCTCGATATTATGAGATGCAGACTTGAGGACACTTGCGGTTATCCAACCCGTCATGACTAAAGATGGATTTCGCACAACACTCCGTGAACCCCCAACTCCAATTAAACCCGAAAGCCCTAATGCCCTACATAGACCCTCCAAGCTCAGAAAACATCTGAAATCGAGGATCAACTTCGGTGTGTCAGGTTAGTGCCAGGGTTGCAACTGGCAAATCCTACCTGGGGTGCCGAGCTTCGTAGGAACACACGTGGTCTCTTCCTCTCTCTCTCTCTCTCTTTCTGTCTACATCTGTACATAAATGTGTATATGTGCATACGTATGTATGTATGTATGTATGTAGGTAGGTAGGTAGGTATGTATGTATGTATGTATGTATGTATGTATGTACACGTATATAGTATCTCGTTCTCCCTCTCTCTCTCTCATATATGTATATATATATATATATGTATATACAAAATATACACAAATCTCATTCCTAAGCTACGCAAGCCCCTACAGACGCCTAGCAGCCTGGGTGCCCCTAGAAATATTCATTCTATTTCAAGCCAAATCCGGCTCGCAGGCGTCAATGTTGTGGCGACACCCAGGATTCCAAACGGTGCTCTGCGATTACATGGGTCTGACCAAAGTTGGGTGTGGGGTGGGGGACTACTGAAATCAAACATGTCTTCCTGTTCTGAAGGAGCTGGGCAGCAGAAGTGGGCAGTCCCCAAGCAGGATCGATTGTGAGAGCCCGTTTTCAATAACATGATGATCATGTTCACTGCCTTTCTGCAGAGACTGAAGTGTGTTACCGTTTCTGTGCAAAGCATTGCAGCTAGTATCGTGCTGGTGCTGAAATTGAACGACGACAATTACCAAATCTCAGGCACCGGATAAACGAACAAGTCGAGCGCGCAGGTCTTGTCTCCAACTTGTGATGCTCTGAAACAAATTCGGCATGCAGAATGGGTCCTGGACACAAAGATTGACAATTGGGAGCAACCTGGGCAGAGCCGCCTTGTGTCTACCCACGGGAATCAAGCTTGGGTTTCTCAGCTTCTTCTGTAGTTTTATTACTGCTCCTGTGGTTGTTCTTGTAATTGTTGTTCGTAGAAACAGTGTTACTATATTCATGATACCAAAAAAATGCATGCTGCACAACACAGATATACATACACACCTTCACATACACACATATGTATATATTTATGTTTATGTACATGTATATGTATATGTATGTGTATATATGTACATATATGCGAATACACTACCTGTAGCTCGTTATCTAGTGTTTCTTAGTTTATGTATGCGCACAAATACATAAGTTTAAACTGCATATATATATATATAGATATACGTGTAACTACACATAAACACACACCAAGGCACACATGCATTAGTAGGCTTTGGTACGCATTCAGAGCTTTAGATGCACATACACTGAAAGGTGGGGTCGCAGGTCGTCTGGCCTATCGGCCCGAGGTTGTTAGAGCAACGAAACACGGGCCCAAAAGACCACCTGAATACCAGGATCTCATGATTGGATGATTGGGGATATCTGGCATCCCGGATGCCCCTTAGCGGCCTGGATCCAGGTGTTCTTTAGGGAGGAAATAAAAGCTCTCCATAGACGAGGCTCTCCAGTGTTCCCGATACCCTTCCCGCTGTCATTCGGTTTCTACAACGGGCCCGAAACTGCCCTAGACCCAAAACCCTAAGTCCTAAATCCCTCATCCCCTAAATCCCTAAACCCTATGCCCTGAAACCCTAAACCGTAAACCCTAATCCCCTAAACCGAAGGGTACTGCTGGAGAACCGTCGGCCGAGAGGATCTCGATGCTCTGATGCTGTTGGCACCCAAGGCTCTCCTGAAGCTCCAAATGGGGGTTTCCGAAAATAGGGGACCCCAATGTAGTACCCTCAATAGTAGGATCCCTATTATAAGGGCCCCAAAATAAGGTACCCCTAATTTTCGGAAACTCCCAAATCGTCAATCCCAGGCCCTTCAGCTTAGGGGTTTAGGGTTTAGGGTTCAGGGTTTAGGGTTTAGCGTTTAGGGTTCAGGGTTTCGAGTCGACGGGCTGAATCCCAGGCCTTCAACTGGGTTCGTTTCTCATCAAGGGATTTTAATGTAAGTTACCAGACTACAGAAGCCTTATTAATTACTATAGATCCCCATTCTGGCAACTTAAATCAAACTTTTTAACAAGAACCCAGTTAAGCTCCCCCAGCGGTTTTTAAGGTGCATAGAGTTTACTGTTCGTGGATTCGGGTTTGGTAATGTTTGGGGTTTAGGGTTCAGGGTAGGGTTTAGGGTGTTGGGCGTAAAGGGTTTGGGGCTTAGGAGGAACGACTGCAGGTAACTCGAAACCAACAGAGTAGCGTGGGAGTCAGGATTACGGGGACCCCTTGGGGATGTAGGCCCTTTCCATAAGGGCCCGTTTAAGAGAGCCAGAAATGGGGCTCTGAAGGGTCCTCTTTAAGGGGTCTCCCGAATACTACCTAGGATCATGTTCAATATCCCAAATCACCATGCGAAGGGCCAGTGCTTGGATTTCAGGGGTTGCCAACCAAAGTTTGACTGAGGCCACAAGAATCATGCAGTGCCAGCGGTTCGCAGAAGCAGCTCGGGTTCAGGGCTAACTGCTCGACCATCTTGCAAGTGGCAAAGGGTGCAAAGGCTTACGGTTCGGGATTCAGGGTTCGCGTTGCATGCTCAATTGGAGCAACCGATATCTGGCGGAAGAGTGTCGGATTCCAGACATGGCTCCGGCCAAGGCATCTGGCAAAAGGTCCTCGGTTGATCTGCCCAAGGCAGAGATTCTGGGCCAGTGAACCGTCTCCCCACAATGGATCCAAAGCGTCCAAGTAATGTCCAAACAGTGCGCTCGGCGCCTGATGGGGACACACAGGACCGGGAACTTCAAATGTGCAACACAAGGGCGAGCATCCAGGTCCGGATCTGAAACGCAAGACCTGTATAGTAGAAGCCAAAACACTGCCCACAAGGTAAAGATAATATCCGGAATAACGTTCCTTTAAACCCACTCCGATTTGTTGCATTTGTGTGATCCACTAGCCGCTACAAAGACTTGTAGAACCGAACCCTCAATCCATCAGAATTGCGCCCGTTGCATCACCTTCATCTGCAGAATTCAACGAATTACGGCTAAAAGCCCAGTTACCTGTCGCTGCCTCAACCTCCTAGAGCCTACCTGTCCTCGCAAAGCCTTAAAATAAACTGCACCCTAGAATGCTTCAGGACCGTACAGCAAACGGCTAGGACTACGCTAGGGTCACTCACACGCTGACCGTGAAACAAGAGGCAAACAACTTACTGCACAGTAGACTGGGCCTCGGGCATGACAAATGCAAGCCGAATTCCGGGGATCACTTCGAAAGTGCTGACCGCCAAGAGCACTGATGGGGTGCGACTGGACTCAAGGAGGTCGTGCTAGTTTTGATTTGCCGCGCCGAATGATGATCACGAGACTCTCTTTGAAGCGCTGGACAGACTGAGTCTATTGAGCTTTCCGGGTTGAGTGAGTTTATCGGGCTTATCGGGTTCATCCGGCTTAGCAGGTTTATCGGGCTTTTTGGGTTTATCGGGTTCAGCGGGGTTATCGGGCTTAGCGGGTTTAGCGGTGCGCGTTTTCGCGGCGCAATGTAAATAGCAGCCCCGCAGTCACAAGAACGGGTGCTCTAGAGTATACATAGTTACTGTAGTGCACCTAACCTTCATAAGGATGCAGAATTCTGCTGCAACCTGGCTCCACAACATGTCACTTCAACAGCCTGCACCCTGGTTTCTGAGGATGAGGCTTGAGACTCTAGACTTTGAGACTTAAACCTGAAACCCTAAAAACCCTGCACCCGAAACTCTATGTACCTAAACCCCTAACTCGCTCTACCCCTGAAGCCCTAAACCCCATACCACTAAAACTTAAATTCTTAAGTTAAGACATTGTTCTCAGGATGGTGAACCTTGGCATCAGCACTATAAGGCTGGCTCTGAGATGGAGCTGAGCAGTTTGGGTTTAGGGTTTTGGGTTTAGGGTGATTCAGGGTTTTAACAGAGCAGGTTGCATAATTGGAATAGGGTGTGGGACAAATTCTCAGATCAACGGGGAAAACCACAAGTGAT